GAATTCTATCAATTCATAATGTCTTACAAATTTTCGCGAGAGTTTATTTAGTTTTGACATTCGTACGACGGGGAAAATTGGGGAAAAGAAAACTAGCAGTCGTACCCGAATGATCTTGCAAAATATCTAAAGAGCAGAAAAATGAACATGTACTGCATACGTTATGAAGTTACACAATAAATGGAAATAAATAGATGAAGATTAATAAAATTAATATATAACGTAAACCAATACCAATACTCATTTTTTTAAAGAAAAAAGCTAGCCACTGTTAATTCGAGGCAATACTCCTGTTGAATTCGAAGTTGAGTTCCTCTGTCTGAGATTTAAAAAAAAAAAAAAAATGAGATGTAGGCGCACCAAATTTATAATAATGCAGAATTTATATATAATGATACCGACCGTTTCTTGTAAATATCTTGGAAATTAAAAGTAAGCGATATAAGAATACCTATGTATAGGGAAATGTTATTCAGAATCATGCTCTCCGACAACATATTTCAACCCCATTGAAATCGATGATAACTACCTTGTATAATTATTAATATTCGTATATATCTGTAATATTGCTATTATTTTAGTGGAGGAGCATACAAATATTTGTACATTAAATAGTCAATAAATATTAATGAACATCACACGTGAATACTTTCGTCTTAAAAGTTACACGTGTGCTCTGCCGGGTTAATTGTGAATCGTTTAACTTAATTGATTGTTAGGTTAAAAAATTAGTTGGGAAACTTGTAATCTCTCATATTGAATCTCCTAAATAGTCAGATCTTGTCATTATATGTATAAGTATACGTTATTATGATACAAATTATATTATACATATATTCGAATAATTTCATTAAGGGTAGATTCATTGTATTTCTTCAAATTAATTGATCGTTAGATTGGAGGGTTAATTGAAAGATTCTTCTTTTGATAAATAATTATAATTACAATTGTACGACCTTGCTGATCACTCGTGGAACATTTTGAATGATGTTTGGTTAATGATTGACTCGTTGTATTTGTTAATTATAGATTCTTTAAATTAATTGATCATTAGAATTGAAATTTACTTGAAAACTTTACGATTGTAATTCTTCTGATAATTGCTGTTATTATTAAGTTTCATTTTTAATATATTAATTATTAGATTTATAAGATCCAGTTGACTATTATATTGGAATTTCTTCTGATAAGCAATATTCTATAAAAATGCAACAATCAACTGCACAATTGATATTATATAAATACACGTTTTATGCAAATATACGATTACATTGATCATCTATGGAACGTTTCGAATAATTTGGCTAAAAACAGGTCGATCATTATGTTTATCCATTGTGAATTTTTTTAAATTAATTAATCATCGGATTGGATGGAGCGAATTTGAAGGGTCTATGATCATATCGGAATTTCCTTTGATAAACATTCACAACTAATTGTGCAAATATTTGAATAACTAATTGAACATTTCGAATAATTTGATTAGGGATTGTCGTATTTGTCATGTACATCATTTAAATTTGGAGAATTAATTGAGAAATTCATAATCACATTGGCCCGATAAACAGTCATAATTATTATTATTATTATGTGGATAGACAGCCGAGATTAATGAAAAGGAGTAATATTAATAAAAAAATATTAATAAAATGAAATTACATTTAACAAACAACTTCATACTATCTTTATAATTACACTGTTGC